GTGACAGGGAGAAAGGAGGTGTGTATGGGGTGAATGTGGATGGCAGTTGGAGGTCTCATTTAGACAGTATAAAGAGAACAGAGTAAAAAGACTTGTGTCCCAAGCTCAACGATTTGCGTTGGTGTGTCCTTTGCATGTTTCGTATGAGGTCCATACGCTCATAACACAAAGTATAACATTGTTTGTATATTGGCTTTCTTTCAAATATTAACTTAAGTAAGGAAAGCTTGTACTGATGTAATAAGCCGAATTGAACTATGAACTTAAGTCACGGGGTCAGAGATTCGAAGTGTCTATTCACAGTCGTCTGGAAATAGTCGCATTAGGGCTATTCCCACTCGAGATTTTTTTTGATAAAAGTAATGTTAAAAACGGCAAATATTACACGAAGTTGTGGTCGAATGGACATGCGTGTGACTAGCATGCCGTATATTGCGGGTTCGAATCCATGTTAAAATATATATGGGTTTCGTTGAAGGAATATCCACCCAATGCGACACTTACAACATGGACGTGCTTCCACAACCTGCAAGCAGCCCTGGTGCTCAGATAGTTGTATACAGTTTCGTACCATGTGTCTTGCATGTTACATTGTACTGCTATATAAATCGAACTATTTGCATTTATACTGCAGGAAATGTAATTGTAATTATGAAATATGCAATTGTATTTTTTAACAAACTAAATTTATATTTTATAAAATACAAATGTATGGACAGTAAAAATAAATCAATACAGTAACATTAGAAAAAGTTGTATTTATATATACATGTAAGTACTGCAATGAGAAATCAATCAATGCCACAACAACAGAAATATAAACAAAAAATCGCTAATTCAAACTAAGCCGAAAACTCCCGATAAACTCGCAACCGACATCTGTGTAGGAATTTGATTCTATTCTGCAATTTTAAAACTATTTTTTTACTACGCAATGAAACGCAAATGCTTTAAATCAAATATTAGCATGTCAAACTAATACATGTTTAAATAGTCCATACCATAAAAACGATATTATACGTATATAAAAATAACATGTGTAGTTTGCTTTGAGTTGTGATTAACATGCAGCAGAACCAAAAGTAATAAATCTGTTGATTCTCTTTCGGTGTGCTAGAACTGCTCAGACGGATGTAATGCTCATCTATCGATTACATTTCATTTCGAGAACATTTTTAAAATTCAGTTGTTTTTCCAAATTAAATCACATTTTGAAAATGTAAACGAATGTTTCAATCAGAGATTAAACGCGGTGTCTGATTACATAATCTAATCATTTCGTGAATGTCCATCTCTAATGGATATCAGGTTCACAAAGATATCAGGCATTTGCGCAAGTGATCTGTCATGTATATCATATATATATATATATATATATATATATATATATATATATATATATATATATATATATATATATATATATATATATATATATGTCGGATATTGGAGATGCACACTAGCCGGCCAGTTCGCGAAGTGGCCGGTCGACTTTAGTCTTTTTGCGTGACATAGATATAGGACAACATACAACATCTATAAATAGTCCACACAAAAGTATATGTTTGTTACAATAAGTTTATTGCCCTTCCTGATGTCGAAGTGTTGGTTTGAGTAACTTAACAGGGTGGCTGGAAAGAACCGCAACGGAAAAAAGCGCAACGGAAAAAAGCGCAAAACAAAAAGCGCAACGGAAATAAGCGCACACGGAAAAAAGCGCAAAGAGAAAAAAGCGCACACAGAAAAAAGCGCAAAGAGAAAAAAGCGCAAACGGAAAAAAGCGCAAAGAGAAAAAAGCGCACACAGAAAAAAGCGCAAACAGAAAAAAGCGCAAACGGAAAAAAGCGCAAAGAGAAAAAAGCGCACACGGAAAAAAGCGCAAAGAGAAAAAAGCGCAAACAGAAAAAAGCGCAAAGAGAAAAAAGCGCACACAGAAAAAAGCGCAAACAGAAAAAAGCGCAAACGGAAAAAAGCGCAAAGAGAAAAAAGCGCAAACGGAAAAAAGCGCAAACAGAAAAAAGCGCACACGGAAAAAAGCGCAAACGGAAAAAAGCGCAAACGGAAAAAAGCGCAAACAGAAAAAAGCGCAAACGGAAAAAAGCGCAAACAGAAAAAAGCGCACACAGAAAAAAGCGCAAACAGAAAAAAGCGCAAACGGAAAAAAGCGCAAACGGAAAAAAGCGCAAACAGAAAAAAGCGCAAACGGAAAAAAGCGCAAACAGAAACAGAAAAATGCGCAACTTGAAAAAACACAACGAAAAATGTGCAAAAGAGAAATTTAGCACAAAGACCATATGGACTAGATGACACATTTATACATGACTGTTAGGGCTGCTGTGAGAGTGTCGTGTTTGATCACGTGATCTACTACCATTTAAAGCGTACCACTACCATCTGCATTCCCATCACCACGATACAGGCGATAATCACTTTACACAATGCCTATTATTTTCTTGGTCAATAATTATTCAACTACTATTCTCGTATAAACATAAAACTATCGACATTACACGAAGTATCTTTCACATTCTCCCTAGTCCGAACTACCTAGCTTGCATACTATAACAACCCGTTCCTATGGCAAAACTTCACTCTCTTTCATCCGCGTCATCAAACATGCATTCGTCATATCTCTCGTAACAACATTCATTCGCACCAAAATAACAATTTTGTATTTAATATTTTTTCACATCATGACGCACCTACCTACCTACCTACTACCCACCTACCCACCTACCTACCTACCTACCTAACTACCCACCTACCCACTTACCATTTCCCGCCTACATACTTACCAAACTACCCACCAAAAAAGTATCGGCGAAGTTCGTAAGTTTCGTAAACTGTACTAGACATCATTTTTTTAATGAAAATTCATTGACATCATTGACATTTGTTACATATATGTTACATTTTGCGACAACCTTAATTAGTGCGTTGGGCTTGTATGAAAACTCACTTCGAACTAACTCAATTACATGCTATTTATTTTAACATTTATAAACTTCATCTCTCTTTGTTTCTTTATAAAAAGGTTACGGAAGGTTTTTAAGGTATTTTACTGAAATGTTTACCGGACGAATGCAAAATGATATAAACAACCATAGCTCTTCTGTTATATAGGCTACATGCAGTGTTTCTTCCAGACTTCCCCCCCCCCCCTCAAACTGTCGATTGTACCCCCCCCCCCTCAAACTTTCGATTTGCATATATATATATATATACCGAGGGGTCTATTGGGGGGGGGGGGTTATGACCCCCCATAAACCCCCCCCCCCCCGCCTACGCCACTGCATATAAGTATTCGCATAGATTTAGAGTAGCGTCCCTTTTGTTTACATGTTTTCATTACCCTTCAAACAAAAGTCTATTTTAGTTATATTGAGATTAAAGAATGTAAATAAATAGTATACACAATTCTGTAGAATAGGAACGATTGGGAGGGAAGTGACATTTAGCGCAGTAAATTTAGAGGTTAGGTAGGGTATAATAAATGGTGGGGTTAGGAAAGTTAAGGGGTCCATTCTCTAATAGGCAATCTATGTCTCTTTCGTACTTTCGTGTTGGTTTATTGTCGAACCTGTCCTCACCTTACATCACAACAGTTGGGTGACGCTTACCGTGTAATGTTAAAATAAATAGCATGTAATTGAGTTAGTTCGAAGTGAGTTTTCATACAAGCCCAACGCACTAATTAAGGTTGTCGCAAAATGTAACATATATGTAACAAATGTCAATGATGTCAATGAATTTTCATTAAAAAAATGATGTCTAGTACAATTTACGAAACTTACGAACTTCGCCGATACTTTTTTGGTGGGTAGTTTGGTAAGTATGTAGGCGGGTAAGTGGGTAAGTGGGTAGGTGGGTAGTTAGGTAGGTAGGTAGGTAGGTGGGTAGGTGGGTAGTAGGTAGGTAGGTAGGTGCGTCATGATGTGAAAAAATATTAAATACAAAATTGTTATTTTGGTGCGAATGAATGTTGTTACGAGAGATATGACGAATGCATGTTTGATGACGCGGATGAAAGAGAGTGAAGTTTTGCCATAGGAACGGGTTGTTATAGTATGCAAGCTAGGTAGTTCGGACTAGGGAGAATGTGAAAGATACTTCGTGTAATGTCGATAGTTTTATGTTTATACGAGAATCGTAGTTGAATAATTATTGACCAAGAAAATAATAGGCATTGTGTAAAGTGATTATCGCCTGTATCGTGGTGATGGGAATGCAGATGGTAGTGGTACGCTTTAAATGGTAGTAGATCACGTGATCAAACACGACACTCTCACAGCAGCCCTAACAGTCATGTATAAATGTGTCATCTAGTCCATATGGTCTTTGTGCTAAATTTCTCTTTTGCACATTTTTCGTTGTGTTTTTTCAAGTTGCGCATTTTTCTGTTTTTGTTTGCGCTTTTTTCCGTTTGCGCTTTTTTCTGTTTGCGCTTTTTTCCGTTTGCGCTTTTTTCCGTTTGCGCTTTTTTCTGTTTGCGCTTTTTTCTGTGTGCGCTTTTTTCTGTTTGCGCTTTTTTCCGTTTGCGCTTTTTTCTGTTTGCGCTTTTTTCCGTTTGCGCTTTTTTCCGTTTGCGCTTTTTTCCGTGTGCGCTTTTTTCTGTTTGAGCTTTTTTCCGTTTGCGCTTTTTTCTCTTTGCGCTTTTTTCCGTTTGCGCTTTTTTCTGTTTGCGTTTTTTTCTGTGTGCGCTTTTTTCTCTTTGCGCTTTTTTCTGTTTGCGCTTTTTTTCTCTTTGCGCTTTTTTCCGTGTGCGCTTTTTTCTCTTTGCGCTTTTTTCCGTTTGCGCTTTTTTCTGTTTGCGCTTTTTTCTGTGTGCGCTTTTTTCTCTTTGCGCTTTTTTCCGTTTGCGCTTTTTTCTCTTTGCGCTTTTTTCTGTGTGCGCTTTTTTCTCTTTGCGCTTTTTTCCGTGTGCGCTTATTTCCGTTGCGCTTTTTGATTTGCGCTTTTTTCCGTTGCGCTTTTTTCCGTTGCGGTTCTTTCTGGGAACCCTTAACAGCTACATATTTGATCAAAGACAGTCTCGCCACAAGCTCCATAAGACAGCAGAGGTATGCTGCAAGTAGAGATTCACATTAAGTATGAACAGTGTTTGTGTATACAAGTTTAAAGCTAGGCTACATTTAACAAGTTTTAAACCGACCTCGTTTCTAAGGTAATATACCTTATAGGTAAAAAAAAGGCCCTAGAATGTTTACGATGTTAAATGCAGTGATTCTTCGAATATAACATAACAAAGTTGCTTTTTCTTTGTAAAAGAATTCGTCGCTAAAATGTGTAAGATAATTTATTCGCAATAACTAAATTGTTTTGACATTTCTTAATGAAATTTAAATAAGACTAAATATGCTGAAAATAAGAAAAGTATAATCCATAGCTTGCGACCTAAATTGTTAAGTCCAAGGTAGGTCTCAGGCATGTAGGCAATCATCCTATATGACCTAGATTTTCACAACCGTCCACATGACTGAGCGAGTATCTATATCTATATATATAATTCTCTGTAAACGCGTGCCCTACCATCCCCACCCCTACATGGTCTGGTGAGCTGTGGTTCACGCTGTTTACCTTCGTGGAGTCGGGTTTAGTGACGGCTATTAGGGGCAGAAAATTTAGTTTGAAACGATTTTAAACGTTGGGGGGGGGGGGGGGGGGGGAAGGAAGGGGGGGGGGGTTATGGTCCTTAACGAGCTACTTATAGTGTTTTAAAGAAATATTTTCAGCTTCAGCGTTGGTACTGTCGAATTCACAAATTATGAATTACTGAAAAGTAGAAAAAACAATTACTAAATAGCGGCGTATGTTATGCCGCGGGCCGGCTCGTGTTTGTTAATGCTCAATGACCGCAGTTAAATGTCCCTGCTCTTTTCCTTATTGACCTAAGTTAAATTTCCTCAATGTATCGTAACGACAACAGTTAAATGTCCCCTCTAATCTCCGTAAGGACTACAGTTGAATGTCGTCTCTAATGTCCTTAAGGAAGACATATGTTGTGCTTTTTAAGGACTACAGTTAAATGTACTCTTTAATCTCCTTAATGACCAGGTATAAAAACCATGCTCTTTACTTTAGAGATCGAGTGTATTTATATGGTACCTGTTTATCTTCCAGAGAGCGTAGGGGATCCTGCTGAAGACCTCAGGGAAGATGTTGTTTAAAGTAGAGGCACCTGATATAGAGTTACAGCTCACTATTCCAGTATAGGTTGCAATTTTCTGGAATTAAATAAAACCCATACATACAACTGGTGCTATGTAGTTGTCGAAGCTGTTAGATTAATTGTCCGATCGTAGACTAAATATAAAATGATTAGGTGTAATTCACGTTTAGGTTTTTAATACTCTTTAAGGTATACACATCACTTATTTATTCGTCCCGTTGTTTGTACCTTTTACATAATTACCTATTATTGAAACCTAGCAATCATTTGACTAATATCGTCTCTTGACTCTCTTAGCGATGAATTCTACTGTTTATTACAATTTCTCGCCATAATATTATTTTTCTCCTCTAATAAATTGGTTATTTTTCGTTTCTGTTCTAAGCTCGTATATTCAAATAACGAAGTTAAGTAATAAGTCACAGACAATAAAAAAGTTGATTCGGTTAAATATGTAGAGCATGACACCGTGGAGTTTCCTTTCTTGTAAGAATCGTTTTATGCACACGTATTGAGTCAATGAAAAAGATGAATGTGCTTTGTTTAATAGCGTTAAGCATTGGTACATAATACCATTATGTTATGGGTTTAACACCCATAATATGTCATCCGCTTACGTAACTACATGCTTGTCACGAGACAAGTATTTATAACATGGGGCTTGTTTAGATTAAAACTACAAGCTACAAATGTTCAACCATACTTAATCGGAAATATCAAAAAATAAATTATCAGCAGTCAACGGCCATTTTCTCGACATTACCATAAACCAGAGGCGTAGCGACCCTTCCCAGCGCCCGGGGACAAACTTTTCGATTTGCACCCCCCTCCCTCAAGATTTTGATTTGCACCCCCCCCCTCAAACTTTCGATTTCCCCCCCCCCCCTTAAACTAACGATTTGTACCCCCCCTCGACCTTTCCATTTATTTTTCCAACCCATTTTGGAGCCCCCTAAGGTCGGCGCCCTTGGACATATGTCCCCCACCCCCCCTCTCGCTACGCTACTGCGATAAACTGGCAATTGATATGTCACTGATAGCTCTAACATGATAAGCAGTGTGAGAGTTAACTCCCGTTTGAACTAATACTTCTTTACTTGACTACTTGACAATTTTTAGTTTTCCAGGTCAGTTATGTCTTTTCATCCTCCCACATACCCCGTCTAGATGACCACTACACTCTGGAGAGGCTCCAATGAACACATTGTACTCCACTGGTCTGTAGATGGTTTCACACTCCGGACGTGTTGAGAGTGAAGAGAGAGGCAGGTCGCTGAACATGGAGAGATTCAAGTTCCCCGACCTGAGAACACGTGATAGAATCATGTACGGCAGACCGATGTATACAGTATGTTGTCCTGGTACAGTACATACACTGTTGTGTACAGATCTAAACATGAACATGTATAGATGTATGAAATCTGATCTGGAGACTCGACTGAACAAATCAGTGTTTAGAGGCGGCAGTTGTAATGTGTATGTTGTAAAGTCGGCTTAATGTTTTATTTATTGGATACTTTGCAATCGATACGAAATTTAGACTGAAGTGTAATGCAGCCGAAGAGATAATTAAAACTTGTGTAGATTATATTTGACTAATTAACACATTTAGTCATTGATTTTGAAATATCTTCACATTTTGTGATTCGAAATTATCAATTATTAGATGGAACAATATTTTTTTTTAATTGTAAAAAAAAAAGTTTAAACAATTTAAATATGAAAATGGAATTAGGTGACTGGCGATGTTGGCTGTTTGAGTGAGGTGTGATTCTTCTGTATCTACGAAATGTGAGACTGCTTAAGCATTTACTTATTCAGTTGTACTGTTGGTGTGTCGAAAATATCAATATTGGAATATTTTGTTGCATCATGTGCTGTTATATACTTGTAATAATAATAATAATATCAAAGCCATGCTCAACTTTTTGTATTATCACACCACAACGTCTTTAAAAATTATCGTAAAAAGATATTTGAGTTGTGTCCCTTACCCCGCAGGTAGCGTGATTGTATAGGGTAACATCCTGATATAGCCCTGGCTAGTCTGGCTTACCGCCATGATCTCACGTCTAAATAGAACAGAGTTGATTTTCTCTTCAAAGTATAGAGATTTACTCTGAAATAACACGGATAGGTAGGTTAAAAGTTTACACCACGGCAAAGGCGACATACAAGTAAGCAGCTGTATTCTAGAAGAGGAAAAAACAAATAAACAGCTTAGCGTATACTAATATGAAATTCTTGGTATACTATTACAGCTACACGTAATATAGTCAGATTATCTTAGTTCGATAAAGCATACCGGCTCTACACATGCTACATCATTGTTATATGTGCTAAACACAACGATAAGATTTACTGAAACAAAAGTTGGTGATACAACGAGCTATCACATAATTCGTAGCCCACAGAAGGGTGGATTAACTTTAGATACTATGCGAAAATTATTAAATCCACGTTGTAGAGGTAGTTAAATTAAGTACGTATATATACAATCTATTTTTTTTTTACGCAAGCTCATGTTTGCTAGACCAAAATGTCTCCAGTTCGAACCTTGATGCGGATAATGCTGGATAGCTGCGGACAGCTACTCTTCTAGGAGAGACAACTCGATAGCTGGGAACAGCAACTCTTCTAGGTGAGACAACTCGATAGCTGGGGACAGCAACTCTTCTAGGAGAGACAACTCGATAGCTGTGGACAGCAATTCTTATAGGAGAGACAACTCCAAAATAAAACAAATGCTGCCTAGCAGTTTGTGCTTGATTGGGCGCAGGTTATCGAAGAAATCCAAAAAGGAAAGCGGGCTGAAATCGGAGACAACTGTCTATTTAACGTATTACATTTTGACACGTAATATTTACTAGTTTTATAGGGAATCCCCTACAACACAAAAATAAGAACGAAGAAGAAGAAAGATTAAAACAATAAGTATGCAATCAACCTACAGGTTCGAGGGCTGGGACATCCACCTGTTGAAACTTCATGTACAGAACATCTTGTGTTGAGGCTGGGCCTACAGTCCCAACATCCCCAGCGTTGCTGTACTCACCAGATATCAGGGCCAGGTACCTGGTCACTAGTGGACACCCACAGTCTGGGAAACGAGGGTCAAAATTGTGAGTGATCATTAGAGTGAGGTAACCTACATACACTCTCACACATATACACGCAGGCTACACTTCCATACAATATACTATTGTTTATTTATTTTTAGTTTTAGTTTTTCAAAAGTGAATACACCGTTTTAATGCCACCTTTATACTTAAAAAATAATGGCATATAAATAGCACAGTGAACTATTTAGTGTAAATTTACTCACCAAATGTAGACGCCTCCCCCAAGACAGATGCTAAACAGAAGACAACAAAGGCTATTTGACTAACAAGAGACATCTTTATATATTTTTCGAACGGTTAAAAACATCATCAGATTCAAAGTTGTATGTAATAGATATGCATTAGTAACATTGCCTTTGTCTATATAAGCGTGAGTAATTTAAAAGTCCAAGTATAACTGGTTCGTTTTAAGACAACATGTGAATGCTATTTTATTGACTATGTGACATCATTACATCACAAATCTGTTAAACTCTGAGTTTTTCTTCTGTGTGAAAAGTCTATCATGTCACACTGAGAACACTCAAATACGTGAGTGATATACTATAGCAAGCAATAAGAATCAAACTGTAGGTTTTAGTGAACACAAACACTTCAAAAACCAAACTGTAGGTTGTATTGAACACAAACACATCAAAAACCAAACTGTAGGTTTTAGTGAACACAAACACATCAAGAACCAAATTGTAGGTTTGAACAAGTAAATAGAAGGTTTTTTGACTCCCATTTCAGCTGCTTTTCTTTGGATTTGCTTCCATAGCCTTTGTCCAACCAAGAACAAACCACAACGCAGCAGTTGTTTGATTTTGTAGTTGTCTCTCCTACCAACCATGAGCTTTACCGACTCAACCACGCCGACCCCCACATCTAAAACGAAACTGTAGGTTTTAGTTAACACACACTTTAATAACCAAAATGTATGTTTTAGTAGATACAAATCAACCACCAAACTGAAGGTTTTAGTAAATACACCCAGATAAAAACTAGGTTTTATCACGCATAATAAAATTGAAATTTAATCGAATGCAAGCGCCATCTATTTTTGTCAATGTTGTTGCACCTGTTTATATGTATGTCTTGTTGATGATATGTGTTTTACTAAATATGTTGTTCATGAAGTACCATTGTGGATGGAAGTTATGCGCTGAAGAATTTAAGTGAGTCTGTATTGGCTGTGTTTGTGTAGGCTCTATCTATGATTAAGTGTATGGACGATTGAGTGAGTCCATGTTTTTTTTTTGTGCCTAGGATTAAGTTCGGGTTGTCTATCTGTTGTTTCATGTGTTCGCTTTTTAGTGTATGTTTGAGCGATTCTGTGTTTTAGTGTGTCGATATTTTAGTGCGTCAATGTTTAAATGCATTTGTGGTCTGATGACTTTGTGTTTGAATGTTTCTGTATTAGCTACTTTGAGAACGCTAGAGCAACCCTATTCAATATTGAGCGTTGGTTTCTACTCCAGTCTAATAAAATAATAGTCCGATCAAACGACACTTTCGCTCCAAGCACGTAGACACTCTACTCCAGGGGTTCCCAACCCCGTGCCCGCGGGCGCCATGGCGACAGAGACATATTTTTTTTCATAAACATTATTGAAAGGTTGAAGGGGATGGAAATCGAAAGTTTGAGGGGGGGGGGGGGGGGGGGATGCACATCGAAAATTTTGTCCCCGGGTGACGGGAAGGGTCGCTACGCCTCTGGAAGGAGTTTGTCGATTTAAAATAGGTGGTGCCCGCCACCCAACCGATATTTTAGAATGTGCTCTAGATTAAAAAAAGGTTGGGAACCCCTGCTCTACTCTTTATAGAACAGTTAATTTAATACGTTAGTTTAATGCTTCAAATGTGTAAACAAATAGCGGCGAGTTCAACACCTAGTACTAATACCCAATGGTCTTGTTATACAAATAATCTTCAATATTGTGGTCTTTAAGCCCTAACATTAAATTAGGGAGAATTTTTGTTTGAAATCAAATATTGAATGTATGCAGATATATTGATCTAACTTTAGATATTCTACAGCAGACTTTAACTTCGTCCATACCACATCAATTTAAAGTACATGTATCCAGGTATCGTGTTTTAACACACAGTGTCGACCTACTCAATACCTGTGTGTGTGTGTATGTGTGGGTGTGTGTGTGATTTATTTGTCAGTTGTACGACGTGTGGGTTATTGATTAATTTATATTAAAGCTAACACAAAAATTGATACATGATGCGATTCGTTCACAATATGCAGGACTGTATAACCCAGCCTCTCAGATCGGTAGAGGGGGGGGGGGGGGGGTCAACTACACATATCTTCAAACTCATCATGTAAGGTGAGTGTGTGGGTATTGCTGAGATGACACATGTTCAATACCTGTCAGAGATATGTTAACATGGATGCAGACGGTATCACAGGGGTTTAAACTCTATTTTAAGGCTATTTTCAGCATTCGTATGCACAACCCACTTGCACAACACAATATTAAATATTTAATATTCTCCAGATTGAAATAGACCGTACACATATTACAAACAGCTGAGTTATTTCTCTTGATGTTAGTATAGCACTATGGAGCAATTTTCTCACAGTGTTCGTTAAACGTAAATCCAATAATGTTAGCGATTATTGTCCGTATATGTTAGCTTCCAAAGGCCCTAACATTTTTGGGGGTATTTTCTACTTTGATACTCTCAAACAAAATCGTTCCTGATCTGTAATTGATGTTTAGTCTTAGAGTTTGTACATATACACTACAGCATTCATGTGTATATTTTTCTTTGTGAATATGTTATATAAATCATCATAGAATAGCTTGTAATAGATGTATCAAAATTCTATGGTCTATGTCACATTCATTTTAATAATAAAATGTATTAATACATTGTATTAAAATGTGTTTTATAACCGCTGCTTTTCTAAAACAATCTGTATAATACAGTGTTGATACAATAATAATACATAGGTTAACTTTTAAGTGACAAGAAACACAAAATCTTACTTTTCTAAACATGGGTTTTTATTTCATTGTGTTAAACTCAAAAAGTTAAACACATTTAAAAATTATCAGTTTCACCGCCATTCGTGTCAATGTGGAAATTGCGTCAACAGGTGCAAATGTCATCTAGAATAGATTCACCACAAGAACCGTAACTTAACAGTGGCAAGCTGAAAGTAGAATAGAACTTACAACTGGCTGTTAATTATTAATCTTCAATTTTCTAACTTTTAGTGAATCAGTGAATGTCTATGTTTGGCATGTATTATTATTGATTGATTTGCCTGTGTTTAATATTTTCTTCAACTTCTAGCGTATGGACGCTCATGGTATACACTTGAGAAAACGTTCTCACATATATATATATATATATATATAAATATATATATATATATATATATATATATATATATATATATATATATAGTTATAGTTATAGTTATAGTTATAGTTATAGTTATAGTTATACAGGAATCTATTTTATATCGTTCAATCACCGAGACTGTACTGTATTTAGAAAGACAATCAAACCTTGATTTAAATCCACCCGTTACTGTCTCATGAAAACACCAATCACTACTGTGTAGGGACTACTGTTACGTATGTTCTTTTATTCAATGCGAAAACGATCCGAGAAAATATTCAATTCTTTATTTGTTCTCGTCTTTACACATAACACAGCAGCCCTCGTCCCTAGCTGCTAACTAAAAGTCCCTTACAACCGTTCACTCCTTCTTTTATACCCGCAATGGACGTTGGGATACAATTAATATACACCCCGGGATTAAATCAACTCATACACCAGTGGCGTGCAAATCGGAAGTCTGAGAAGGGTGCAAATCGAAAGTTTCTCCCCGGTCGCCGGGAAGTGTCGCTACGCCTTTGAGGGGCCCACTAACACTTTTTGCATGGGGGCCCAAAAATCCTAGCTACGCCACTGTCACACACACACCTCTTTCCTACGTTCTGGACTATTCTTGCCTATTCTAATCTAACGAACAACTGACCCGAACAACTATGCCTAGGTGTGTCCATCTAACTTTACCTTTTAACCGGACTAAATGCTTCTCTGCCTGACTTCTGTTACTGCCACGCACAACTGTGGCTGTCTTAATTACACTATACACAAAAATGCACGTAAATGTGTCTATCTAACTAACTCCACACACAACACACACACATACAGACACACACACACGTACACACAATGTGTCCACACATCTTATAAAACAACAGTACCTGCTAATTTTCCACATAGAGTAGGGAATATGGCTGGACGCCTCAGGGAATAGGTTGAAACTTGTCACAGTTGCGATAGAGTTACAGCTTAACATAACAGCGTAAGATGCGACTTGCTGGTACATAAACTTTGTGTTAATAACTTAAAGTAAGTAGTATAAAAACAAATATGTAATGCCATTTAAATACATTCAATCGTTTACATAATCAACTTTTTGTTCAAACTATTATTTTTAACCAGATTTATTAATAGCAAACACGTTTTATATCAAGTAAAATAATAAATAAAAGCCAAGTAAATATGTTAAATAACATCTTCATATTATTGATGTTGTATATTACTTGCAGTAAAAACGAATTCTCAGAAAAAACAATTGAAAAATAAAATAATTGGAACTATACGGTTACAGTTTACATCACGTCTCTCGTATGACTTGTACTAAACTCTCGTATTGCTATTTATAAAACGTACCCCATCAAAGTGCCCTGTGCAGTCAGGATAAGTTCCGATAAAGATGTTGTACTCCATAGGTCGGTATATGGACACACACTCAGGGCGGGATGAGAAGGCGGATAGGGGCAGGTCACTCAGTAGCGAGGTACTGAAGTTACCGGACCTTGAGAGACAACTTAATTGTTACAGTCGACAGGTGTATATGCAGAACTCTTCAATTTGACAGGAGAATTTCGGTGTGGGTTATTTTTTGTGTGTGACTCAAAATGTGTGTGTTTATGTGTTGTGTGTGTATGTTTGTATGCCTGTGTGTGTACGTATACATTATTTTAAACTTAAGAAAAAAATAATCTTTAACTTCGTGCACCAGGAGCTTTGATAAAAACACAGACATAGCACTGCGATCAAAACTTAGCCCAGACACCTAGGGGTCATCCATAAATGACGTAGCACTCGTAGGGGGGGAGGGGGGTCCGTAATTTTGTGACGGTGTGTGATGAGGGGGAAGGGGGGGGGGAGTTCAGATGTTGCGACGTCACATTTTTGCATTATAAAAAAGCAATGTTAGAAAACGAATTTTAGACGTTATTTCGCGTTTAAGATAACTGTTTTAATAAATTGTAATAGTTTAGACAAGATTTTGGAAAAATATCGATGTTTAAAAAGAAATGCAACAGCAATTTTGAAGGGGGTTGTAGGTTGAGGTGTGACGTTATTTTAGGGGGGGGGGGGTCTTGCTTTTTGTGACGACGTGTGACGGAGGGGAGGGGGGGAGGTAAAAGTCGTCAAAAAAAGCGTGACGTCATTTATGGATGACCCCCTGCACTGTAATTAGACCGTTACAAAGTGTCTCTCCCCCAAACACTCTACCCTGTAATTAGACCAATATCTACTGTCTCTACCCCATACACCGACACATACCTACTGTCTCTACCCCATACACCTACACATACCTACTGTCCCTATCCCAGACACCTACCATGTAATTAGACCAATACCTACTGTATCAACTCCAGACACCTACCTTGTTATTAGACCAATACATACTGTCTCTACCCCATACACCTACCCTGTAATTAGACCAATACCTACTGCTTCCACCCCATACACCTACCCTGTAATTAGACCAATACCTACTGCTTCCACCCCATACACCTACCCTATAATTAGACCAATACCTACTGTCTTTACCCCATACACCTACCCTGTAATTAGACCAATACCTACTGTATCTACCCCATACACCTACCTTGTTATTAGACCAATACATACTGTCTCTACCCCATACACCTACATATACCTACTTTCTCTAGCATAAACACCTACCCTGTAATTAGACCAATACTAACTAGACCAATACATGCTGTCTCTACCCCATACACCCACCCTGTAATTAGACCAATAACTACTGTATCTACCCCATACACCTACCTTGTTATTAGACCAATACATGCTGTCTCTACCCCATACACCCACCCTGTAATTAGACCAATAACTACTGTATCTACCCCATACACCCACCCTGTAATTAGACCAATAACTACTGTATCTACCCCATACACCTACCTTGTTATTAGACCAATACATGCTGTCTCTACCCCATACACCCACCCTGTAATTAGACCAATAACTACTGTATCTACCCCATACACCTACCTTGTTATTAGACCAATACATACTGTCTCTACCCCATACACCCACCCTGTAATTAGACCAATACCTACTGTATCTAACCCATACACTTACCCTGCAATTAGACATATACCTACTGCCTCCACCCCATACACCTACATATACCTACTTTATCTAGCATAAACACCTACCCTGTAATTAGACCAATACTAACGATCTCTACCCCATACACCTACCCTGCAGGTAGTGTGAAGTTGTGAGAGAGAGTCTGGATGAAACCCTCGTCTGAAACACCGACGACAATAACCTCTTGTCTCAGAACATTTGAGTTAAGTCTCTCTTCAAAGTACAACACTCGGTCCTTAGAGTAAGTTAGGCATATTTATCTACATTAGTCATAACACTGTCATGTTTGCTAAAAGTTAATAATCAAGCAAACATGAATTAACTAAAAATTCATTTTTTTGAGTAAGATTGATTTAGACTAATGAGTATGTTTCTGGTCTTTCGTGTTTGATTTTAGACATACAATTTTTAGATTAGGGATACTAGTTTGGTTTTACATTTAGATTGACATGTTTGATTTTAGACTTTTAAAATAATATCAAACTTATAGGTTTAGTTTTAGACTTACAGGTTTAGTTTTAGACTTACAGGTTTAGATTTAGACTTACAGGTTTGAATGCCGGAATGTCCACCTCATATAAAATGAGGTTCACTTCGTCTTGTGCTGGAGGGGGGCGTTCCCGTCCTAAATCTCCAGCATTACTGTACTCACCGGAAATCAGTGCCATAAAGGTCGTCACTAGTGAGCAACCACATTCTGAAGTATAGGCACAGTGTACTTAAATCACCTTAGTCGAAATATTATACACAGTATATACGAGATAAATGGCCCGTTGAGGAATTATACAACTGGCGCTAGTTTGGTAGTGTAGTCTTTTTTCACTAAACCGAAACCAAAACCAAAGCTACCACCTTAACTACAAATTGAACAGGAACCGAAAAATGACACTGGAAACGGATTTTTATCCATAATCATCATTTTAATCGGAGTTAAGCTGGATCTACAAGTAGTTACTGCACATTGATACTAAATATAGTCGTAGCCGTACCCCTAAACCTTGCACTTAATCTCAATCATGACAAAAGTCGCATTTTGGAATTTCTTTCAGGCGACTCGACTTGGGGGGGGGGAGGGGTAAATATATATATATATATATATATATATATATATATATATATATATATATATATATATATATATACATGTTCATGTTACAGTATAACAGAAAGCAGTCATCTGAATAAATATGAATGTACATTCTACGTAATGAAACATGTAAAAAAATAACCGCAAATGTAGTATTATATATTGAATGAGGTAAACGAACCATTGGCTGAGGTTGGAGACAACCACAAGAAAAAGAACACGACTGAGACTGCAGCTCTCTGTTGAGGTAACATCGTTTGTACATCTATATCTCTCAATGAGGGCTGGATTAGTAATATCAAGCTTTGTGTGGCTCACTCGAACTGTGACAAGCTAGGGTGAGATGTACATGACATTAACTATCGCTACTGCAGGAATGTTGTGACTTGTGTTGTAATCAATACATGACATGCTGTTGTTTACATCTTGATGAAAACAGATGTACATTTAAAGACCGCTGGAGATGAGGTGACCAGAGACAATTTATTACCCTCCTTTCTTTTTACTTTTAAAAAATCGTATTTGCACTATCACATTAGTTTTTCGGGTGTATACTTGCACAGGAGATACATATATACGAAGGTAAAGGAATACAGAGATAATTTACTTTTTATTACGAAAACAATAAACGGGGGTTGGGGGGGGGGGGGGTAATTTCACACGCTACAGTAATACATAAAAAAAAAATAACCTAATGTGAAAATAAGCAGATAATTCCGGAGACTTGTTTACGTGCAGCCACTCTTAAATCACTGGTAGTGCTCCACATAGTCCGTATTGGACATCATTAAAGTTATTAGTAACACAACGTATTAAGTTAACGTAAAAATCAACAGCCAGCTGGCCGGAGTTGAAAAAAAAATGTTAAATATTTTTAAAAGTGCATGCGTTAGTAAGCTGAAAGTTAAATGCAGATAAAATAAAATAATTCCTTTGATCGAACAATTTTTTTAATCGACCTCTTACAAATAGAAAAAGGTTTAGTTTTATGTAAATTAATTCACTTTAAAAAAAGGACAGTTCAGTGTAAATGGTATGTAATTGCCTCGGGTTACTCTAAGTCTATCATTAGCATCAACCACGGCTACATTGTTACATTAGGACGTATAAAGCGATGTGACTCTATGAGGTGGCAACTCATAGTTAAACAACACTAGCGTCTATGTAGGACACATATTAGCCTACATATGTTGTATCGAATAACATGTGATGGACATAATGAAATAGAGTTTAATATTTGAACATAAGTAATGCACTTATAAAAGTATAACTGATAGAAACAAAAGCAATTAGATTGTACTTCAGGACGACTGATATATGAAGAAATAAACTGAATCAAGCAATGGAAGAAATATCAGTAACCGCTTATACATTATCAATTACTGGCTAACGCTGTAAACCGACATACACCAAACACCACACATAATTTCGTAATGTTTTGTATTGTTGACTTTATAGTGAATTACATCTATACTTTTGACACCATACTATAATCCAATGGTAGTGGGGGATATAGCATACTTAAAATGTGCAGTAAACACACATTTCTGTATTTTACATAAACCTCCAATACAGTAAGAATGTTATTAACTATATATGTAACATTTTTTTTAAAAACTGATCATATAATATAAGCATTGTATAATTTATCAAATTATTAAATGCATTTTTTTCTTTTTCTGGTTATTTAACACGAAAAAATATTTTAAAGTGGGATGTTACTCTTGTAAAATATTATTGTAAAATTATGCTCTATTTTGAGGATTAGCTCCCATTTACTATGTTTTAAACATAAAATAAAATAACGTATTATTCTTCTGGTTATCGCCCTTGAGTTAAGAGGTTTTATATAGTGTTATGAATTCCCGCTAGTTGACGGGAGAGTGCGGTAACCCAAGGTGTCAAGCCCACCCTCACAACCACAATATTTGGGTACTTAAACTAGAGGCTATTTGGTTTATATCCCTTCCGGATGGTATCACATTGCTGTCGGTATATTCCAAAAGTTTTTAACTAAATAGTTTAAGGGTAGCATCCACAGCTATATTATCTATTTGAAGGTTTAGATTGTAGTATGTGGACGGTTAGGCAACCTATTTTTGATTGGTACATGATACATTTTTTACAAGCAACGTCTGTCTGTTTGTTTGTTTGTTTGTAGTTTGTTTGTGGGTTTGTGACAAATCTTGTAACTCAACTTTGAACCACTTCTAATGCAGCGATCTCGTTCAAACTTTCCAGATCCGTTCCACTTCAATGACAATACAATTATATCTATTTTTTATTTGATTTAATGTTCAATTAGTCAATAAAAAGAATTAAACGGTTTCGAAACTACGGGAAAAACACAAAATTAAATCACTCGATAGATTACTATATTCAATAACAGAAGGGGCGATAAGCAGCTACACGCGGCCACCCTAACAGTCTGGTGAGCTGTGGTTCACGAGAATGATTACAATGGTCGAGCCGGTCGATCTAGTGAAGGCTATGAAGGGAAGATAATATAGTTTTTAAAAAGATATCAAACTAAGGGGAGATAACATGATCTACTTGATCTGAGTGATGTCGTCTGTAAACTGCGGTTATGGGTGGCTGCTTTTGGGAGAGGGGTGTGATAATAATCTTTCATGAGCTACTGATAGTGTTTTAATGCATATATTTTCAGTTGCAGCATTGGTAGATATAGATTATTCATTACCAAAAAGTAAAAACTAAAACAAATATTAAAAACTTTCTAATAGCAAGCTTTTAAATGCAACGAAGATTAAGAAAATAAACTTGCTTTCTCTCATAAAAGCTATGTTTGTTCACTAAAATATATATATATATATAATTCTCTTCTGGGAGACGCTAAAAAACAAGCTGTAAGCGCGCTCCCTACCATCCCACCCCTACATGATCTGGTGAGCTGTGGCTCACGCTAAATGTTTACAGTCGTAGAGCCGGGTTTAGTGACGGTTAATAGGGGCCGATAATTTAGTTTGAAACGATTTTAAACTTAGGGGAGGTAACTAAGAGGAGGCTGTTTTCACGGGGGTGGGGTAGGGGTTGGGGAAATGAGGGGGGTGGTATCGTCCTTAACGAGCTACTGATAGTGTTTTAAAGCAAATATATTAAGTGGCAGCATTGGTACTGCCGAATTCACAAATTGTGAATTACTGAAAAGTAGAAAATAAAACAACTAAATAGCGGCGTATGATACGCCGCGGGTCGACTCGTATGTAATAAAAAAGCAGGTTTTCTTAGTTTCAGTGCATTTAAAAGCTTGCTATTAGAAATGTTTTTTTTAATATGTGTGTATTCTCACGTTATAACATAGGAAGCCACCATGTCAGTAGTAACACATACTAGTGTAAGTACAAGCAATGTACATTTGGCACTTAGTGTGTCACGTAATGGTGACGGAACACCATACTACAAAAGTATTTTTTACTTTTAAATTTTGAAATAGAGCTTTAGGAAAAAGAAGATGGATATGCCGAAACACAATAATTTGCCTCGAGAATTTTTTTTCTTTTATGTATAAAAGATAAATGAAATCGATTTCCCACTGTTACCCTTGTTGTTAAAATAGATGGTGAACTGATCAAAGTGGTCGATTATTGACGTTAAGTAGTTAGTTTACACAGATGGGTGACGTTTATTTTTCTGAGGTTATCTGATGTCTGAAACATAATATTGAGCTAATGTGTTTGTATTGACAAGCTCTAGACATATTTGTGTCACATATTAGCTACAGGTATCATACAGCAGTCCATTCAACGACTTATCAATTTTTAGATCAGCATTTTTATATATCGAGAAAAAGCAATAACTATTCAATTTGTGTAACGTCAAGGTTTATTTATTGTTTAGGATTTTGTAGAGACAGCTGTTACTCAGTTTTTTACTCTATTCGAGTGATGCATTTCGACCATTGTGTTTAGTTGCCTCTAAAATTGCCAATAAAATGGTAATAATTTCGATTTAAATTCGACAATAAACACAGCTCACTAACAAAAACATGTATATAAGGGGAAACTACTGTGGGAAACATCACCCATTAGATCGTTCAGGCTAGTTAAGTTTGGAGAATTAAAAATGTAACTTGGCCGAGACGAAACCTAAAAAGAGAACGTATAATGAAAATTGTAATGCATTATAAAAACAACTAAGGCATTTTTATCGTAGCTAAAGAAATACATTTTTATTTATTTATTTTTCCCGAATCGATAAAAGTTATACAGTTATTTTATTTTTAGTTTCTTATTTAATAACTCATAATAAACATTAATTTTACAGTATTTATATAATCCAGAACACATTTTTAAAAGAAACGAATGCTCTAGAGTTAAGCACACATGCACACAACGGGGAATTCTTGTCTAAATGATTGTATCTTATGCTAATGCTGAACGCATCGGGTAAACGCGGCCACAGAAGGCAGATCAGCAGGTACAGATATCATCGAATATGGTTTCTCCACAGGTTCCGTAGTTCAGCAGTGGATAGCTGAAAGGAGATACCAGTTAGTGTTTTATTTCACAAAAATGTTGCAAGCAAGTCACGCACAGCGGTAGATTTAGCAGGTGAGTCTAATTTGTTTAAAAAAAATAATCTAATATAAAACAATATTTAAAGATAATTATGCGTACACAAATTGGGGCATTGGTTTATATTTTTTTGAGAGTTAAAATATCAACTTTTTGGCTGATTACTGTAATGGGTCATTCATGCAAATGAAGAAAGCTTTATACTTTATTCAAATATTAAAAGATTAGCGAAAACAAATGATCATGTTGTTTCAAATATTTAAAAAAAAAAGTTCTTCAAGCTCTATTTCAAATCCAATCTTTCAAACGTTTTCGTTCATTTTTAATTGGATACTTTTTAAATATTTACAATAATTGTTTAAAGAAATCATATGTTAATACCTACATCTAGTATATCTATGGTGTAATGGCCGTGACACTCATATAGAACTAATGCCAATTGTTTAGTGAAAAACAAATCGTAACAATATTTTTTTTTATCTAATGTTGCTCCAATACATTAAAAGCTGCTTTATTCATACGTCTTTTTTATCTTTCTAATGCAGTTGTACTACCTGTTTATTTTCCAAATAGAGTAAGGGACAGCGCTGGAAGCTTCAGGGAAAATATTAAAGCTTGAAACCAAGGCGATAGAGTTACAGCTCTGCATAATTGTATACGATGCAACTTCCTAAAAAAAGATATTGATCTACCACAACATTTTATCATATCTATGAAAGCTTATTTACTATACTTTTTACAAAGTAAAATATTGTTGATCGACTGTAAAAATGTATAAGATAATTTTATTTTATTTTACAAGTTAATGTCAAATACATGTTTTCATTGCTCTGATTTCATATCGAACAGTTTGATATAGTAAAGTGAATATTTGTTTAGACCAACATTGATTGATATTGAGTTAGTAATTACCGCGAAATAAAACAAACATTCCCATCTATAATACAGCATTACTGTTTTACTGCGTTTGAAACGAGTCAATGATGTGATTCTTTACCCCATTAAAGTGCCCTGTACAGTCAGGATAGGTCCCAATGAAGATGTTGTACTCCATAGGTCGGTATATGGACACACACTCAGGGCGCGAGTAGAAGGCAGATAGAGGCAGATCATTCAGGAGGGACACATTGAAGTTTTCAGACCTAGACAGACAATGTAGAACCGTAAATACATACACAAATACATATATATATATATATATATATATATATATATATATATATATATATATATATATATATATATATATATATATATATCTTTACAGCGATCTATCTTTAAAACAGTAAGATAGTTACTGTTGCAGCGATATACTAACCCACTAGACAGGGTGAAGTTGTAAGACACCATCTTGACGAAGCTTTCATCTGTTACACTAATCACCAGAATCTCTTGTCTTAATATCTCTGAGTTGACTTTTTCTTCAAAGTAGAGCACCCTGTTCTAAATTGGTATAGCATACATATGGTTTAGTATTATTCACATTCAATCTTAATAAGAGCATGAGTAGGTATTAACTGTTGTGCGCTGCTTAAAACGTATAATACAAACTAAAGGTAGCGTTAAAGTATGCATTTTAGTGTTAGTTATTATAGTGTAAATGAGTGCAACGGCCATAATTCAGACAGTATTAAAAGAGTTGTGTCTACTGACCGGCAGGAACGCTGGGACGAAGACTTCCTGTAGAGTGACCTTGAGCTCATCTTGTGCAGCAGTGGTGCTCTCACGTCCGATGTCCCCGGCATTACTGTACTCACCAGATATGATCGCCAGAAACCTCGTCTCCAGGGAACATCCGCACTCTGTGGATGTACACATTAAAGTTATATTTGCTCCTGTACTACAGGGAACATCCGCATTCTGTGGATGTACAAAATACATTTATATTTGTTCCTGTACTACAGGGAACATATGCAATGCTTAGGGTGTACAAAATACATTTATATTTGTTCCTGTACTACAGGGAACATTGGGATCCTTATTTCTGATACAATATGAATATTTTATAGATATTTTTTTGAAATTCCAGAATCTTGGCGCATTGTTGGGTCAAATATTTTTACAAATATTGCTAAGAAATTGAAAATGTCATAAATATGTAATTCACCTAGTTCCGGATATAAGTGATAACTTGAGATAGCTATCTTCTTATGCTGTATTTTCTAGAACTGTAGTCCATATTGTAAACATAAATAATTGGTTTTAATGAGTAAAATTTGAATACATTTTTTTGCATCATAATGGGCATTTATTTATATTCCAATTTATAGCTATTTGATCATCATCACCTTGGTTGGTAAAAAATGTATTTAGGAATTTATAGGCCTAATTGATTTTTTGACATTTTGATTTAAAGCTTGTAGTTTGCTGTTACTTTTATGAAATTTACACAAAACAATGACATATTATTTTACTTTAACCAGATGTTACGTTTAAGAAATGTGTTCAGAAAAAGCAATAAAATATATTTTATTTTACCCAACCTGCGGTCGATGTTTGTCCCCGACTCAGGGATATGCTCACGGCAATAATCACAGTTTGTATTAGAATAAACATGGTTGTACTGTGATCAACACTATCGTCGACTGATAAACCTCTAGACGCATGTATTGATTGTTATAACTAGAGAACGTTTATTGATGTCGCAAGCTTGACGTTTAGTGCTGGGTGTTGACGCTCACAGATGGCTAACTTCACATCAAAGACGACCAAGACAAATCGATCCAAAGATAATTAAACTCGTTAAAAATGCGATACAGGTATTACATACATACTCCCATGGCCGGTTAGATAGGGCCTATTTGAGTGAAGGCACACTCGCTTGAGACTGGTTTCATAATAGAAGACCGCTAAAGATACACAATTCTTAATCTCCATAAGGCTGGCGAGCGATATGATTACAGAAGTGCAAGGTAGAAGAGATAGTCTGAAATGCTTCATCTAGCATCTTACCCAAAACGCTGTTAATGCTTTATCTTTCCGTCGATTTAATTGATGCATTAGTTTTAACTTTTAAATCTACACATGAAACGTATGAATTTGAACTTAATTGAAGTTAAAAACTGTTGCACCGTTGTTTTTTTTTCTTCGCTTAATTTGAGCCACTGCTTTCTCTTCACTAAGACTAGCATTAATCTGTTTCGCAACGCTCCCCTCATTTTCACATGCAGGCCATTAAAAAACCTGTCCAATGTGTTTCTGTTTGTCTTCCCTTTTTAGAATGTTGCGGACATTAGTCAAATAAGCTTCACTCTATTGAAAGTACATGTTGATATTTGGCAGCAGAAAAGTATATGAGTTGAGTATTATAACTGAAATAATAAAGAGTAAAGGGAATACAATTTTAAAAGGCATATAAATTGTCATGCTTGTGTAGTGAAAAACGTAAGACACGTGTATATGATTCTGCAGATAAAGGAATACCCTTTTTATCAATTTGTAATTAAAAGAGATAAACTCACAAATAGGCCTACATTTGAACTGAACTAGCAATGCCAAAAACAACATTTTTACACATTCAAACAATAGTGCTTATATCGTCAAGAAATTAAAACGGTGCGTATTTTCTGAAACGAATATCTAAATGTAACCAACCACTTACTGAGCGCCTAAAAGTTTTAGAAAAAGGCAGATGATAGCAGCAGTCATTAACACAGTAAAATAAATCTACTCGGGTGCCAAGTATGTCTACACATATTTGCGATGGTGTGGGTGGGGGAGGGAATATTCACTTGCTCCTCCAAGAAAAAAACCCTGAAAGAAAACGAAACATTTTTAATGGAGCCTGATATGGCTTAAATTAAATCGAGTAAAAATATTTAATTAAATATGCAACAATAGGTGGTAAAATAATCAATCAATTTCTAGCTTGCAATCTATTTTATAGAAAAGTATTTGAATGTTATATAATGGAACACGTACTTGTTTTCCAGATTACATTTTATCAAGATTAAAAAAAAAAACACATTTTAGACGATGACAAAAGTAGGCTAGGTTTAAATTTTTTCACAAAAGGCGTTTGTAAAAGATGCAATTAAATGTGGATAAACATCAGCATGTTATTATGGGTGGATCAGTGGATCCTTCAGTAGCGTAGGGACGCAACACAACTTTTTCACTGTTATGGACGATTTCATAACGGCTACTTCGGCTTCACTGACAACTGACATTTTCCAAGTTTATTTGGGGATTCCAATGGAATGCCTGTCCGGTGATGTTGCTTGTTGGTTTACGCAAGGTGTGTGCCTTTTTAATCAACAGGGTTTTACCTAGTGTACTTATACAATACTATTTAAAATGTAGAACAAACGTTTAATTTGTTTGATGCATCTTTTATTTATTATCTTAGAATTTACTTTTTGTAATAGAACATGTTATTGTATTTTAATGATTGCTCCATACATTGGCATCAACGTACCTAAACTTTCATCTTTTGAAATTAGTTGTATTTAGGATTTGTTATCTAAAACGGCGACATAATTTAAATTTTTTTAAATCAGCTACTCAAATTTTAATAGGTCAGATATTTAAAAAATAATAAGATTCGTTAATAATTTTATATGGAAAAAATGCATTAAAAAGGGATAATTTAGAAGACAAATATGACGGCACAAAATCGATAACTCATCCAAGGCATTAGTAGCTAATTAGTTTTTTTAAAAGTTTTTTTATTTTTATTTTTTATTGAGGTATGTAATAAAGCGGATAAGAAATGTTGACGTTTATGTAGCGTACTAATGAGCTAAGACTTGGTTTTATGAGGAACATTTGCATTTTGTACATCTTTGCCCCTCTGGCATATCGATAGGTGTGTTTGATGGTTCGCGAGTGGGTGAATACAGTGAGCACACACATACAGATAACTACTTCCAGCAAACATCGCGCAAACGCATGTGTTTTTGCTTGGAGAATTATAGGGTCTACTGCATTTATTTATATGTAGTGTAACTGTATTCTAGGGAACTGTAAATGAAATTATTTTAATATAGTGTGATGTGATTACAAAAAAAATCAAGTAACTTTTGTTTTAACTGAAATCACGGCTGATACTTACGCTGTAGAGCAGGAACATCAACTTCCTGATACACAAAGGTCACTTCATCGTGTGCTGTAGGTAGCAGCAACCGTCTAATACCTCCTGCGTTGCTGTACTCTCCTGATAAAATTGCCAATTGTCTGGTCTCCAGTGAACAGCCGCAATCTTAGGTATAGTACCTAACAGATTAACACTCTTTTCAATTGACATTTTAGAATAGCAATGTCTTTTAAATCAAAGGGGGAGGGGTGTTAACTAAGCCGGTAAATACACATACACTTCAATATAAGTCCACATTATATAACATCTATGCACATTAGGATGTTGCTGATTAAATACTCTTTATTATGTACATTATGTTTATATATGTATGTATATTATATTTATATATGCATATACATTAATATAACAATATAACCTATATGAGTGTGTGTGTATGCATGTATGTGTATGCATGTGTTTGTATATTTCGCTTCGTAAGAAATTGTACACATGTAACTGTCATGAATAAGGTGCCGAGTATTTTCACATTTTAAAAAATAAGGAGAAATATTTTTGAGGAAATTATTTTATTGTGTATATCATATACTGTAAAACAAGGTTTTTTGCAATTTCTGTAAACTAATTCTCGATCAACAGGTACACAGTTCTTCTAAGATTGATTCACCACAATTACCGTAAGACTTCAGTGGCAAGCTGGAATAAAATCGTTCAGAAATGTAAACATTGGCTTCACTCGGTAGCAGATAATAATCTTTGTCACCTAGCGTAATACAAAACATATTATCTTGCTTGCGTAGTGAAAAGAATATAATTTGATATGCATGTATAGTAAATGAAAATATACTTTTGTTATGATTTGATAATAAATGCAAATAAAGTATTGATGATTGTGTATTTTGAATCCTTAATAATCAGGAATGCAAATATATACATTATTGAAAGGGTAAACAATTTATTTATATAGTGTATGGCACGTTTAAAAAAATAACACATCAAAATATTATTAAAAATCAGAAGACAATGAATTGATTGAATGGTACTATAGAAATCTGCAATTGAATTAACTACTCGTTTGTAACGCAACACGACAACACGATATCACACATGAGTAGGCTACAACATACAGACATAATACTTGTATACACATAACTTTCTATTGTACTTGGTAACTTTAATGACCATTACTGCACCTGTTTATTTTCCAAACAGAGTATGGGATGTTGCTTGCAGACTCGAGAGAGAATTTAACTCTCCCCACAACAGAGATGGCGTTACAACTAAGCACAAAAGGGTGCGGTATGGTTTGCTGAAGTTAAAATATACATTTTTTATAGGGAAGATGACATATAAATAAGACAAATGAGGGTAAAGTGCTATAAAATCGACAACAAAATAGTTTTTCCATAACACCGCGTTTACATTTTCGACATTTATACTATAAATATCTGGGAGAAAAAACACTTGCAACAAATAAGTATACATGTTCCGTGGGGGGAAATGTTTTTATAAAACGCCTTCCGCCACATATGTGCATACATACGTTAATTTACCAAAAATAAAGAAACAGGTAAGGACACAGTTATACACAAATAAATAGACCATGTATGTAGGATACCAAACATCATAGTACGAGCATTAGAATACTTTGCTTATGCTTGCGATGAAGATGAAATCAATGTGAACGTGCTGTTTGAATAAGCAAAGTGACACCCACCAGTTGTAGCCGTCCAGAGCAGTCTGGATAAATGCCAACGAATAAGTTGTACTCTACTGGTCTGTATACGGTCACACAGTCAGGTCGGGATGTGAAGGCGGATAGGGGCAGGTCGTGTAGAAGAGACACGCTAAAGTTTCCAGATCTGAAAGTGTTTTAATGAGATTAGTATTGTGTTCTTTATCCAGACAGGCATTATGTCAGATATTTCGTATTACACAACAATTGTAATTTAATAGTGTTTTAATGTAAACAAAAAACCGAGGAAAACAAATTGAAACGGTTTTGTTGTGAACATTTTTAAAAATGGCATAAGGCATGTTTCTCTGGAAGCAATCTGAGATCAGTACTACAGTGATAGGTCTCGTCAAAAGTAAATACCTTGAATGATGTGCGAAGTGGCCAATAAGTGCAACAGTTATATGTATCAGCAAAAATACGTACTCAGCAGGAAGGTTGAAGTTGTGAACCGATAACTTGACAGCACCGTAAACAGTCCTGTCCAATACCAAAACCTCTTGTCTCAGTACGACCGAGTTCAGTTTTTCTTCAAAGTAAATCACCCTGTTCTAAGGTGACAATAGGAAAAATATTGTTGCGTACAGGTGGACTTAAAGTTAATCAACAATATTAGGCTAACAAACCTACTTTTGAAAAACATGCAATGAATATAAGCTAATATAACATTAATATTTTTTTAGAGACTATTATTGATTTATACAGATCCGAACCGTACTTTCAACTTACATGCTGTAGAGCTGGAACATCAACTTCCTGAAACACAAAGGTCACTTCATCGTGTGCTTGACCTTGACGTAACCGCCCGATATCTCCAGCATTGCTGTACTCACCACATAAAATAGCCAATAGCCTGGTCTCCAGAGAGCAGCCACACCCTTAGGTAGAGAAAATATAAACACATACATATATCGCTCAGTTAACAAGGTGGATTTTAAAAATAAATCAATTCAATAAAGCAATATAGAAACTAAGATTCCGCTTACCCGTGGTCAATGTTTGCACCAAATGAGCTGCTAAACTCACCACTAAAACAGCTGTTAGTAATAGAAATGTCATTGTGATTAAACAGACTTCTCTTTGATAAGATGTGGTAAACCTAAATATATCGATTACACTCGTGAATGAGCCAGCGACGGAGCAGCTAATTGACGTTAAGTGCTTGAGTTTGACGCCTGATGTGGTATGTGTCACTGAACTGATCACCAAATCGATGTAGCACAAACATTGGTTAATATATGTCAAAGAAAAAAAAACATGAACAACAGAATCAAGCTACTAGCTACATACAACACTACCGTATTTTTATATAGTAATGTGTTAATTTCTATTGATTTCCGTGTTAAATAATATATAATAAAAACTAGCCTTAATAATATGGTGGAAAAACAATGTATTATATGATTATAAATGGAAATATAATTTTTTAAACGATGACGTTTCATGTTTTACTAAAATATTAATGCATTTTTTAATTCAACAAGAGGAAATTAAAAGCACTGCATTCGTTATCAGATTGATTTTTTTTTGTTATCGCTTACATTTGTTTCTAATTTTAATTGTGCTTATTTAATGCACAAGTATGTATGGCTTAATTTTACTCTACGCAGGTTAACACACACACTAATTCGCACGTATCAAATGTGATGAGTGTGTTCATGAAACTTCAAGTTAAAAGTTGTTTCAACGAATGCTTGTAATGGCTCTAAAACATAATTATGAAATGCAAGTCTTACTCCAAAGAACTTTGACAGGCAAAATAACTAATTTTAGCAATAGGATTATTAGAAAAACAGGAGTTGTCTCGCCTTTGCAACTTTTTTTTTGCTTCAACATAACAAAATATTTCGTAGAGAAGCTTATGATTGAGTTGTTTTCTTTTTTACTTTCACATATAGAGAGTATAGAGGAAATATTGTAATCGTGCACAAAAATCGCATGAAATTTTGACAGTTTTCACAGTTTTACACCTCGTATACGAAGTATAGGGCACTTATTTTTATTGGGGGGAAATTATAAATCCAGCTGAATCAAAATTTCCGCGTTTTATGCGTATTCGAGTCAGATAAATTTGGCTTTGTAATTCTGTCCGTATGTCTGAGTGTGTGTGTATGTCTGTAAACAGGATAACTGAGTACCGTTACAGCTAGGTAGATAAAATTTAATTTATAAGTATTATATCAAATTTGTAGTTATTTATCAATTTTTCAGTGATTTCCGATAACAGCGAAAGATAACAATGACAAGAAGGGATAAAAACGTATACACATTAAACAGTTGCTTCTCACTACTATTTGCAGACGTTTTGTAAAGAAACTTAAAAGAATAAACCCAAACCTATGTTGCTACTTGTTTCAATAATTGTGATACCTCTTAAAAAACTAATGCTAAAAAAGCACTGTACACATGTCCTATTGACTGTTGACAAGATAACACACTATCAAAATGTATACACAAGAATTTTTTTCCGCTTGAATAAAGCTCTTCGGAAGTTGAATAGGTACAGTCTGAAAGAACCCGTCTTGCTAGATAAAGCTAGGAAGGTTGTAAAAGGAAATTATCAAAGCGTCTAATTCAAAGCGCTATGCTTGAGACTGCCAAATCTAGCTCAATGGGCTGCAATAAAAAGAACATGGAGATTAAAGCAGCAATTTTCAATAGATGGATCAAGGATAGTGTGTATGTTTTTTGATGTTGCTAATAAATAATGACCACCTGCCGGAGAACGTCTACATATGTTGGTGTGTGTGTGTGTGTGTGTGCGTGTGTGCATGCTTATGCTGAGGTGTGTTTGTGTGTTTATTTTTGTCATGTGCATTTGCGTTTGGGATTCCCGTAACCCACAACCCTCACAACCCCTATCCTCCACACACACACACACATATATATATATATATATATATATATATATATATATATATATATATATATATATATATATATATATATATATATATATATATATATATATAAAGAGAGAGAGAGAGAGAGAGAGAGAGAGATAGAGAGGGGGGGCGAGAGAAAAAGAGAGGAAAAAGTCTTTTAAAAAGAGAAGCAATATTTACAATAAATAAAATGTATAAATTACACATGAGAGTTATAAAACGTGTGGAAAAAACCCTATCTAGAAATCAATATTTTTTTCTAGTCGAAGAAATTTATAGAATGAAAAGCTTTTTTATCTCTGACCTAAATACCTGGTCATGCGTACAGCTACTATTTGTATAATGTTTTTAACACGGTGTGTCGTTAGTTCATGTAAAAAGAAATTCATAGCACTACATTTATAGCAGATCTTTTTTTTTCAATCGTTTTGTAGATACATTTGTTTAGGCAATGTATGTGTATCCATCGCCAGTTGAAATATATATATATATATATATATATACATAAGCAGATGTTATAATATAAACATTTAAGTAACTGAAACATATATATGATTAATCTAACAAGCTACATAATATTCCATAAAAAAGAAACACGTTTGTAAATGCAAAGGCTATAACTTAGAAATGGTAATGTATTAATACATACATGTGAACCTCTAATATATGAATAATCAGTTTGGATCACATGGAGATAAAGAATGTTTTCTTAGTAGGACTATTTGTTTTTTGCTGGCCGATTGCTTCTGTTCTATCAGGTATGGTAAATTTATTACACTTACTAAACGTCTTTGTCAGTTAATGCACTAGAGGTCTTGTAGCTTGTTATTGGTTGGACAAAGGCTATGGAAGCAAATCCAAAAAGAAAAGCAGACTGAAATCGGAGTCAATGGCCTCAATGGCGCATAACCAGTTGACACGTATCCTTAATTGTGTTGGAGGCGTGGTCGAGTCGGCAAAAAGCTCATGGTTGATAAATTCGAAAAAGTCTCGAGTTCAAACCCACTGGCAGATAAATCTCGATCCCTTTCAACACTAAAAAATTAAAAACGAAGAAGAAGAAGAAATTGCACTATGTTATACCCATTTTTCCGATTCAGCAAGTAATAAGGATTAGTTATATTGTAAAAAAGTAAAACTGATTGAAATGAACCATAAGACAAATAGCCTATACATTTCTTGAAGCCAAGACTGAAGATAACATTGATTTTGAAGTAACATCATTACTAGTCATCTATTTATAAAATGTATTAAATGTTTAATTCTGCCCCTAACATAAATTTTAATTTAAAAATCATGTTATTTCAGAAAATAACAATAAACAACGTTAAGCCTATAAACATAAGCACTGAAATTAAGAATTTAAAAAAAAATTAATAATCCCTTTCTTTAAAAAAATTTGTTAATCATAGTATTGCTTAGAAATAGCCATAGCAAATGGCGATTCTTATTAACAAATATGCGTAACTAAAATGGAAATGTGGCGAATGATTGAGACTTTTATCGAGAATTACATAATCTATTTATCATTTTTTTCCAGAATGTACAACTGGATGGTTTGGCGACAATTGTCAATATAAATGTCATTGTACTGACAATAATTGCGATGACAATGGTCTGTGTTTAACAAACTCTACTTGTACAGGAGGATGGTTTGGTCCTCTATGTCAGTATTGTAAGTAGCATTTATTCAAACGAAGATCATATTTAGTTCAAAGTTGAGCAACAACCGACTAAAATTTAGGTAAGAAATGCCTATTATAACAATCACTCGTGATTTTTACTGTTTAAAATAATAATTATACACATTTTTAGAGGTTAGTTGAAAAAAATTGTTGTGTTAATACAAGGAGTTTTATTCTTTGATAATTCAAAATTAGTCTGAAGAACTTCTGAGGTCACTAAAAATCTTTTATCTATGAAACTACTCAATTTATTGTTGTTTTTTTTTAATTTGTAAACCAAAACGTAAGTAAATTACCACTTCCAGATTATGGAGATCACTAAAAAAAATTAAAAATAATTATATGCGAAAAACTTGTTTCTTTGCTGAAACAGTAGGCAAACTCCATTTGTTGCATTCACGAGGAAATAGAAACTTTAAAACTTTAAAACGTGTGACTATAAGTGGTTAGTTCAGATTACATTTCTAAAATTGTATTTAAAAGGTTGACCTTTGTAAATACTTATGTACAAACATTAATTCTATAGCTACGAATGAAAGGTTTAATATTAGATTATACTTTAAGCTTACCAAATGCAATTTACAAAGAAATGTATACTTTTTAACAAGAAAAATTGTCATATTTTGTTTTTGTAAATTCTGAACCAGTAAGGTTATAAAAAAAATAATTCAGCTTGTAAATAGAAACATTCGATAGGAAAATATTTTTAATTGTAATGATAAGAGAAACTTTGGATGTTACTAAAATTAAGAGAAATCCTGTTTAGCTCATCCAGCTTAATCATAATTATCAACCAGTTATGGCCCCACAGAGTCTTTTCTATAATTCAGAATAAACGTAGAACGTCTTTATCACTCCAACTTCATGTATAAGGTAGATTTTAATTTTAGTTGATACAACAACATGAATAGGCCTATGCGACATTTTAAATAACACTAATTCAAAACATAGATTTAATATTTAATCGATTCATGTTTCAAAAAATTTAAGATATTTGGCCCATTAGGTCCATAGAATAGATGTTTATCTCGTGTTACAATTTGAGTCGTTTTTTAACGTTTACGCGGATCAGGCATACGGGTCAAGGATAAAATGTGTGTATCTTGTCTGTTTTAATAATTGTCTTCTCATTTAAATGTTAGTAATCCAATTTCTATTACTTTAGACAGCGTTGCTTTATATACAGGCCTACATATTCTAAACAGGAAACGATAACAGCTATATTTGTTACACAAAGGGGGGGTGGTATTGTGCGGAGGTAGAGTGTGGTCATGTTAACATGTTTCACTTTCTATCAGATAGTATTTCTCCTAATATGTGTGGACTTTTAGAACACATACACAATGTGGTTATGATTCGATAAACTAAATTCTTCAAGTTAATTGATGTTTATTAAAATTTAAACAATTACATAAAAAATCCATTACATTCATCGTTTTCCAGACGATCTTGCACCGTTAGGTTCAACAATAACGTCAAACGTAACTGACGGAGATGACAGTACATGTGTTCTTATACTGAACTTTACAATCAGCTGGTCAATAAGACACGGGCTGACATCAGTACGACTAAAGTATCAAAACAATGGTAAGCTAACTCTTAGATAAAGTTACTGACATCATAATAACAATTCTCTATGAAGTACGTTATATATATATATGTATATATATATATATATATATATATATATATATATATATATATATATATATATATATATATATGTATATATATATATATATATATATATAATTATGTATGTACTACATAAACAAAGTAAGTAAAATTCGTCAAGTTTAAGGTTTAAAGCTTAAAGCTTTAGGTTAAATGTTATAAGCCTGAGGTTTTAGCTCTAAGGTATTGCAATATAGTGTAATGTATTGTAATGTATCAAATGGTATTGTAGGGTATTTCGAGATATTGTAATGTCTTAAAAGGTTTTTATATGGTTAAAACGTTTTTAAAATGTGCATAGTATCATAAGCTTTGTTGGTAGTTATCAGATATTAATATAACGTCATTGAGTTATCATTCCCTTATCTTTGTTTTACTTTGCCAAAAATAACTGTAATTCACTGTTGTTACCATAGCCACTCCACCAAATTGGTAAACCGTTACCATAAAACTAAATCGAGTTCAGACTTGCAACACTATTTTTACATAAATTAGTAGCATGAGCTCTAATTTATAGTTAATTCCTATGCAGTACCTTAAGCAGCTGCTATTTTATCATGTGGATTTAAAAACTTATCTGAATACACATTAAATAAACTGTATTAGCCCATAACTTGTTATCATTTTATGAACATGAAAATTTTTTTTTTTTAATAATTTAATATAATTTAACCACGATAATGGGGGAATATGCTATGCCATTTAAACTTGATTTCAGACTCAGTATCTAACATCCGTCTTGCTGTAAAAGAGACCAACTCTACCAGCAGCTTTACACCGTGTACCAGCCAGACAATGTCCACAGTAGACGACTTTACCGTAGACATCTACTGTAATTACAACGCAACTGTTCAAGCGGTTGATATAGACTTTGGAGAGATAATATCTGTTTGTACTGTTAATATCAATGGAGGTAGGCCCCTAAGCAATAAAACTATGAAGATAATGATTATAAATTTTAAACTATATTGTATGCTGCTTATTGTTTCTAACATCACAATTTTCTGCCGTAACAGTAATACCATCATAAACAACATAAAGTATGATATACATCAACATATATCAAGTATTAAACATGCAAAAATAGCTTAATTTATATCAGAGAAAATATGTTTAATTAACGTTTTTTGGAAAAATAAACTTTCAGGACGAAATGTCGCCTTAAAGCAACAGACCTGGCAGTCCAGCAACTATAACGACAGATACGTTTCATCCAAAGCTGTTGACGGAAACACTAATGGAAACATTGTAGAATTCGAATCTTGTTCACACTCTTCAGAAAAGAGTTCAGGAACCTGGATGTTGAAATTCCCTCAACCAATGAATATAAACAGATACATTTTATACAACAGAGGTAATTGGTATGCATTTAACTTTCTATTTAATATGTAATTATATATATATATATATATATATATATATATATATATATATATATATATATATATATATATATATATATGTATACATATCATATATATATATATATATATATATATGATATGTATACATATATATATATATATATATATATATATATATATATATATATATAAATAATTGCAATGCCATATATAAAAGCAGAGGCGCCCGGGGACAAACTTTTCGATTTGCACCCCCCCCCCCCCTCAAACTTTCGATTTTCACCCCCCTCGAGATTTCCATTTGCACCATGCACCCCCCCCCCTCAAACTTTCGATTTGCACCCCCCTCAACCTTTCAATTTATTTTTCCAACCCATTTTGGCGCCCCCTAGGTCGGCGCCCGGGGACAGATGTCCCCCCCCCCCCGCTACGCTACTGTATAAAAGGCCCACCCATCGAACTAATGAGCGCACAGACATTTACATCGCCATAAATCAAACACAAATGATTAGTCTTTGCTAATCATTACTAATCAATTTTCACATATTATATTTAAAAACCGTTAGATAGGCTTTATATTATTTATACTTTTTAATCGATTAAAAGAAACTGAGAAAATTAAAAGTTTAAATTCTCCAGGGAACTAATCCCCTTTAAGAAGACCATTCAATTGTGTACATTTTACGCCCCGCGATATGACATTTCCCGAGAATCTTATATTTCTCCAGGCGCTTATCGTATCGGAACTACACAAAATGAAGTTAGTGTCGCATCAGCAATGATCAATCAAACTTAAACAGTGTTAAGATGCAATGTTTATAAAAGGCCGTGGTCAGGCTTGGTCCGTTTAAAATGACTATTCAGAGGGCTTTAATGTCATCGCTCGTTAGTTTTAATAACCTGCTTTGGTTAAAGAAAAAAAAAACATATATCCGATAGGCCTATTTTCCTGCAAATATCTTATCTAAATAAAATGTTAGTAAGAAAACACAGACACATTGTTTTTTTAGATTTGATTTTGTATTTATAAATAAAGATACAAAGGTAATTAATAATATATATAACATATTATATAATGCGGTTCGCTACTTATGTTATTACATTTTAAGAACATTCTGCTTTAGAAGTAGAAATCTTAAATATTGATGTATGTAGCGTGTTTATAAAAAACAAAATAAATATTTCCTTTTTTACTCTCTAATTAAAATATTTCAAGTTGATTGCTGCCCAGAGCGTCTGTCTAGTTTTACTCTCACCAGCTTCAGTTCCAGCAACCAGACTTTGTTCACCTACACTGATCCTAACACTGTTGCTGCTGTTTATACTGTGACGTCGTCATCAACACCTTCTGTAACCTACGTACAAATAACCTCAAGAAATGCGCCATTAACACTATGTGAAGTGGAGATTTTTGAAGGTTTGAAAGATTTATTTAAACAAATATATGTTGAATTTCCTGCATATTTCGAATCTTAAACAATGTTTTTAACTATTTGACGATGACGAGTCTTTAAGATTTGAATGTTAAGATATGAAAAAGGTTTTTAAACTTCAGGTTGTCCCATCGGATGGTTTGGACCAAGCTGCCAGTACAAATGCCACTGTACCAACAACTACTGTGACGTGTCTGGTGGATGTTATGGTGGAGCAAGTTGTGATAGAGGATGGTTTGACCCACTTTGTCAAAATAGTAAGTGATTCATTTCATGTACTTTAATATAACATGATCAAAGTTCATTAATTCAAAATGATCCATAAATTTAAAATAAACATTTAAACATTAAACAAAGAAATATTAAATATATAAAATTCAACATCAGACAATGTTTAACTAACTCTTTTAAAGAGGTTTATGATTATATTACTTTGCTAAATTACGTCGAATTAAAATTTAGTTATAATTGGATAATGCACATAGTACAAGGGGAAAAAGATGTAATAAAAAGAAATGACCAATAGCTATTAAAAGAAAAATATGTGTGGTGCTACCTATCGGGTGCCATGGGTTTAATGTTATCCCTATGTTAAAACCAAGCCCAAATCAAGTATATTGCTTAACATACCTTTTTATCAAACAAGACATTAAACTTAAACCCCGTCAATTGTCAATAACCCCTTCCGTCCGTCCCCCCAACCTGGTTATAACTTTTTACATTACTTACCCACTTATTATTAACCTCTTAATTAAATTTACGTGTCTGAACATCGGAGTAGGGGATCATCATTTACCACGTTCAAATCGATTCTAAATTTAAACCTAACATTAAATGTAACCCTGACCATTACTAATAATAGTTTCACTATTCTGTCTCTCTGTCACTCTTTCACCCGGAAAACACAAGGAAAGTAAAATCTTTACAATTAAACGGAAAAAGAAACGTGACGTCACATGCAACATATAGGAAACATATTCTAAAGCCGGAAAAGTACACACAATAATCTGACGTCGTTGATTCAAGGGAAAACATAATTAAAAGGCCATTACCCTTATCTCCAAAAACCCCCACACACAACCGTATTTAACTCTCTCATCTTTAAAGGGGCATGCGTGAGGAGTTTCTTCCATGCAGCTCTTTGATATATATATATATATATATATATATATATATGTATATATATATATATATATATATGGGTGGGTGAGTGTTTGTTTGTTTGGTAAAATTACCCATCACTAAAATATTTTCGATCTAGTTGTGGTAGTAAACAGGTATAGAGATCAGTTAGTAACCAATAGGCTTAATTCTAGAAACTATTTCTTACACTAACGTATCTATAAAGTTTCCACCCTAACAAAGTCTCCGCCACATAATATAACAATGAACAAAATACTATCATAAAATGAAATACAAAGTCCTTAACGTAACTACGTGTTAGTGATGTTACTAACAGTCCATTTTAGTCTCCGTTCGGTCTGTGCACTGTCTCATGTTTGAATGTAACCCTTAGCCGAGTCCCATAGGAATGTGCACCTCACGTAATGTTTTTTAATTGTTCGTCTAACATTTAAGACGCATGTTGTTCTTTATTCCAGGTGATCTGGCACCATTAGGCTCCACGACGACAGCACACCTAACAGACGGAGATGACAGAACGTGTGCTAGTTTGCGTAGCCTCACAATCAGCTGGGCTCTATCTTACGAAGTGGCATCATTAAGGGTTAAGTTTCAATATAATGGTGAATATCATTCTTTATATTAATCAGAGTGGCAAACGTTAAAAATGCAGATTTTTTATGGGAACTTTATCCATTTAATTAATAAATTAATTGAGATTATTATTACAATGCATTACTTACGTATGTTAATTCTAAGAAATTTATAGAAACACGGATGTGTCATTAGTTTTCAAAGTTTCACAAAAAATAAAAGAGAACGACATTAAATGTGAAAAAAATGCCGAAATGATTAAAGGAAAGCTGTCTTCAATTTAAGAATGTGTCGCTTTGTATTTGTGTTCAGTAGGCTAAGGCATTAAGCAGAGTGTTAAAATGCTCTCATCGATGCTGCTTTTTATTTAGAAGGCACATCGGTTTTATGCTAGATTCGGGTGCTACACTAATTTAACTTAATTGAGCAGCCAAAAAGTCACAGTGTATATTCATAGGTTTGAGGGTTAAGGCTGCTCCATGGGAAAAAAACGTTTTAAATCAGTATTTTTTTTTCTTTATGTATGTGTATTTACGTTAGAGAAATTCAGACAAAAAATATGCATATGTTAGGTGCACATGAAAATACTCCTGCAGCCATCAGTGAAAAATAACCTTTGTGGAGGTCTCATGGTTTGAAAATTAATATATATTTTGATCATATAATCGTTGATCCGTCTATTACTAACTCTAATAGTTTGCTAGTTTTGTAAAAGAGAACCCTATACAAATAATTTAAAGTAATGTTTTAAATATATGCAACAACAAAAAAAAAATACAAAACACAAAACAGCTGATCACACAAAAAAAAACACAAAACAATACCACCTAACACAATTTATGCAAAGAGACGCAACATAATAGGTTTAATAAACTTTGTAAAAAATGGCATAATGTAAAATGTAATTCTTGGGGACGGAGTGGTCTAGCGGTAGAGAGCTGGAATGCTAACCCGTAAGTCGCGAGTTCGAATCCGGGTTCAAGTCAGTAGACCGACCCTGAGTCCACCCAACTCTGATGGGTACCTAACTCACGTTAGGGAAAGTAAAGGCGTCTGGGCAAAGTGCTGACCACAATATCTCTTCATATACCGAGGTCACAGAAACAAGTTGACTCTACTTCACTTGCTCGATAGACGGTCAGGTTTAAAAGGGGAAGCTTTACTTACTTTTTACTAAAATGTAATTCAGTGTAATACAAGTCTTAGTAAGTAGTCAACAGCACTTAATTTATATAATATCATTTCACGTAAAATGATGAAAAGTGTAATTCGTATATTATGAACAAAGGCAAATTATGAATAATGTTGTGTGTCGTAAAAATAAATTAAACAGAGGTAACTTCTCTATTTTCTTATTAGCATTTAAGTATTGTAAAACAATATTTTCTGTAAGAGATGTAATGCAATGCACACTTTATTTCAGACTCAGTATCTAAAATCCATCTTTCTGTAAAAGAGTCAAACTCTGCCAGTAGCTTTACCCCGTGTACCAACCAGACAATGTCCACAGCAAACGACTTTACCATAGACATCTACTGTAGCTACGGTAAAACTGTTCAAGCTGTTCAAATAGACTTTGGAGAAACAAAAAATATTTGTACTGTTAACATATATGGAGGTAAGCACCTTTAAAGATAAAGAAAATAAAGTAAATGATATGTGTGTATAACGTATAATTTAAAATTAATGCTAATTAGAACATTTTTATATTATAATATTCGATACAACTGTGACACCGGATAAATGAAGTAAACATAAAAAGTTCCGCTAGTTTGAATGAAGATGTGCTTGAGTAATAATTGTGTCTATTACTAGATAATAAAAAAAGACAACCAACCTGTTGTCAAAGAAAACCATTGCACACAAAATCAAAGTAGAAAGATTACAAGTACATTGTCAAAATTAAAATAACTTTCAGGACGAAATGTCGCCTTAAAACAACAGACCTGGCAGTCAGGCAACAACAAAATGTTAATTTCATCCAAAGCTGTTGACGGAAACACTAATGGAAATCTTGTAGAATTCGAATCCTGTTCTCAGTCTGCAGGATCCTGGATATTGAAATTTCCTCAACCAATGAATATAAACAGATATATTTTGTACAATAGAGGTAAATTACTTAAATTTAATATGTAGATCAGGAATTGGTGTCAGGCAGTAGTTTAGAATATTCTACTGACTAAATTATTTGAGGCAGAATGCAAGTATACATCTCGCCACTGCATAATTGGACAATATAGCCGAAATCGGATTTGAAACTTTTAGTATTTATTTTTTTAATAATCAGACACAATTTAAATGGGATTATCATGATCGTGATCGTAGTCGTGATCGTCAAAATTAATATCAGTGCGAGAGCAAAATGCGAACACAAACACAATTGCAAATTCAAAATAAAACAAAAATGCAAAAGCTAAAGCTAAAGCTAAAGCTAAAGCTAAAGCTAAAGCTAAAGCTAAAGCTAAAGCTAAAGCTAAAGCTAAAGCTAAAGCTAAAGCTAAAGCTAAAGCTAAAGCTAAAGCTAAAGCTAAAGCTAGAGCTGGAGCTAAAGCTGGAGCTAAAGCTAGAGCTAAAGCTAGAGCTAAAGCTAGAGCTAAAGCTAGAGCTAAAGCTAGAGCTAAAGCTAGAGCTAAAGCTAGAGCTAAAGCTAAAGCTAAAGCTAAAGCTAAAGCTAAAGCTAAAGCCAATGCCAATGCCAATGCAAATGCAAATGCAAATGCAAATGAAAAGGAAAGGGAAAAGGAAAAGGAAAATTGAATGATAGTGAAATGAAAATAAAATGTAAATGCAAATATTTGTGTTTGTGTTTGCGTTATTTGTGTTTGTGTTTGTGTTTGAATTTGCATTTGCACTTGCATTTGCAAACACAAATACAAACACAAAAAAACGATAGCTTTAAAATTGGATAAATGTTCAATATGTAAACTCTGTTCCAATCTTTAAAGTTTTATTAGAGACGTAGATATATGTAGCATTTTTTTTAGAAAATTTAACATTTCACACATTTGAAATTTCTATTCTTATTTTTTTTTTTTACAGCTCATTGCTGCCAAGAACGTCTCCGGGAATTTACAATTACCAGCTACAGTTCCAGCAACGAGACTTTGTTCACCTACACAGATGCCAACCCCTACACTGATTCAACTGTTTATATTGTTACGTCAACATCAACACCTAATGTAACCTACGTGCAAATACAATCCAAATCGGATGTTTTAACACTTTGTGAAGTGGAGATTTTTGAAGGTTTAAAGGATTGTTGTGAATTATATTAACAATACATATTTTTAATTATTAATACTAACTTTTGTATTAATTAAAAATTAACTTATTTTGTTTAAAAAGTAACAAAATAGTAAGCTAATTAAAAGATTCTAGAAATAAAACATTTTTTTGTCTTTAAAAAATGAATTTGATATATAAATATATATATATATATATATATATATATATATATATATATATATAGATATAGATATATATATATGCTTTGCTACTGCTATTTTTAGCCGTATATTACTTTTAATGTTAGCGTTATCTTTGTTCAAAATACTATATGAAAAATGAAAAAACATGTCTTAATGCTGCGCCCAAATTGCCACGAGAGTACACTTTCACGTTACTTTAAATATTAACTTACGCGCAACCGGCTATTCCACAATTACGGTTCGCTAAACAAATATTATAAGTGAAGGACGTACACACTCATTCCCCGTCTCATTTCCAGGTTATTTACCTCCTGTTAATTACCACCCTGCGTGATTATTTCACTTTAAGGTAAATATTATAACAATACGTTTAGTTTTCTTTGCCCATTGTCCTATCTCAATCCCTAAACCTATTCCAAACAAAGATAATATGTTTATATATAATTTTCATCCAATATCTCTTGGCCAATGCCTTTTATTTACCGACACCGTTACCGTTAAACTAATGGGTGGTTATTGTCAGGGTGTATGTAATGTATAACAGCAGTTTTCAGAGGAGGAATGCCCTGTGATCTAGGGTAATTCATCTAAGGACATTGTTTAAATGATCGATGGCAGTTACCCTTAAGGGGTTAGTGTCATTTAGAAGGTTCCCCTTAGACCACAACAAATATATGTACATGTTTGACCCACTCACACGAAGACCAAATTTAATACGAAAAAGCACGTATTAATTAAAATTAATGAAAATAAAGCCTCACTCAATATCACACAATACTATTTACAATATTATTTCTTTGAAATAGCATCAAACATATTCTTGTAAGCTTTACGAAGATGTGTTTTGAAATCTTTTTAACCGTCTATCAGCATTGGTCGAAGCTGTTTGCATTTCACTTTCTTTGAATTGTCTCATTAATGTTTTGCACTAAATAAGTATTAAACAACAGTTTTAAAAAAATAACTTTGCAATGTCTTATTGACAAGTTAAAACCCGCGTGACTATGAAAATATGCACCAATTGAACAATAAACGACACCGTTGATCTGTGACATATTTCTTTGGTTTATATCAACCATAAATCAAACATTAATTATTAATTTAATCATTTTTATTTTTAATGCTATTTGAAAAACTGTTGATAGCATACATTTTAAAGGATATTTTCTTTCACCAAACATTTTCTTTTTAAAATGTGTGTGTAGTTAAAGATTCGGGTAAAATAAACGTTTAAACTCCTGACTCAGTTATGTCCTTTTAATGCGTAAAATTAAATTAAGCAGACACATGGGTAAATTTTTAAATCTTTAATATGGAATTTCTGATAATAGGGTATTTTTCAAGGTGGTTAGGGCATCAGAGCTATTTTATTACTAAAAATGAAGTTTGTGTCGCATCTTAAAATGGGCGATCTAATCCAAAATATTTAGCTTATATGAGGCCGCAGTCAGACTATGCTACTTTTCGATCACGTTCAACACGGATATTGAGATCATTATAGATTTCCACAGATTATGGTTTAATAATGCCTATTATTGGTGATATTTTATTTCAGGATGTCCCGTTGGATGGTTTGGACCAAGCTGCCAGTACAAATGCCACTGTACCAACAACTATTGTGACGTGTCTGGTGAATGCTATGGTGGAGCAACTTGTGTTAGTGGATTGTATGGTCCACTTTGTCAAAATAGTGAGCATTATATATATACTGTGAATTTTAATACTTGACTACTTCTCTTTTTTCCATATGTAGAATACGGCCTAAGCTATATATTTGGACGTTGCGTATAAGTCATCCCTACGATCTGTATTTCTATTAAGATCACTCCATTATCGGGTTTTCTTTGGAGTCTTTTTTTTTCTTCATGTGGTTCCACTCACACGCAGAGGCGTGTCACGATTGTGTATAATTTTCGCCGAATCCAGCTTAAACTCTCGCATACTTATTTTTTCTTTCCTGGCTTGTAATACATAGGTGTTTGTTAGGCACCATACCCTCCCAACTCAATTTCAGAATCTCAATAACTGAATTTTTTAAGTCAATTTATTAAAAAGTATCAAAACAACAAAAATTAAAATGGTTACACATTAGAAAATTGTATTAAATAGAATGCCGTAACAAAATTTAACATTATAGGTCAGACTATTGTAGCACAAGCAATTGTGATGAATATGAGCTCACACATTTTGGGTCGCAAGCATTTCACCACAATCTTGTATTTTGTATAAAAGTATTCAATAATTTAACATCTTTTCGTAAGAAATATTTGTTTTGGTTATGTTAACCCAGAAAAGCATAGGTATATAAAAAAGATGTTGACTGATAAAGATATGTTTTAAAAAAGGACGTCGTAGACATTTTAGAATACAATACAACTTAAAGGGAACATGCTTAAATCTTTAAAAAAGCAATAACTTTGCCAATTAATGGTTTTAATTAAATTTGTACTAAAATATAAGAGCAGTAAACGAAATTATATTTTTTCTGATAGCAAATAATTTTGCTATAAAATCACCCGTATTTATAACGTTAAGATTGCAAAACATATATGCTTACTTCATTTATTTTCCAGAATGTACATCAGGATGGTTTGGTACCGACTGTCAATACCAATGTCACTGTAAGAACGACTACTGTGATGACAATGGTCTGTGTGCAGCTGGGTCTGTTTGTACAAGTGGTTTTTTCGGAAGTCTATGTCAGTATCGTGAGTAAAATTTATTAATCAAACGTAATTCTATATTTAAATTGACGGAAATAAAGTGCATCATATGCTTGGTAAGAATGCAAACAGCACTACTTACATCCAACCAACCAACCAACCAGACAACTAGCCTGCAAGCAAACCAATGCATAAAAACAAACAAAAAACTCCAAAAGAACAAGTAACCAACTGGCCAACCCAGTAAAAACAAACCACCGACCCACCAAATAAACCAGAAAAGCAAATAACATTCCAATCAACACATGTCCGACCGACCGACCCATTGACTTACTGAGAGACCGACCGACTCACAAGTTTCGTGTTCGGTTTTGGTTTATTCGTAATTTTCTCTTGTTTTTTTTTTCTATCAGATACATTTGTTCCTCAATAAACGGTGACTTCTAGAACAATTATACCTAACGTTACAAGTGGTTATTGTTTAGTAGCATCAATTATTTATTATCACAGAGTATTAATATTTTAAATTCCTATTTCTATTAATTTTATAATAATGTTTCACTAAAACAATTACTAGTTGTTATTTTAAATTAGGGAATCAACCATGTTGCAACTTTCTATGCACATTGTTATCAAAAAATTAAAGACAAAACTTGGTTTTAGAGGATCTGGCACAGATAGGTTCGACTACAACGACTTATCTAACAGACGGAGACGACAGTAGTTGTGTCAATCTCCAGATGTATACGATAAGCTGGTCTGTTGCATATGAAGTGGCATCTATAAGGGTTACGTTTCAGACTAATGGTAAGCTTATTTTTCTACTAAACATTAACATGACAATTAAATATATTATGTACTTCTAAATGTCACCTTTATATTCAAGTCTGTATAATGTTTTTGTGTTTATATTTTTTTTGCACGATAGCAGAAATCAGAAGATAAAATTAAATGTGTGTAGAATTTTTAAATGCGTACTTATAATAAAAATATTATACTAGATACAAATATATCAAAAG